ATGTGGTAAAAGCTGTGATGTATCTACCGACACACGGCCGGCGGGCAAGTCTGCGAGCGCTGCGCACGAGCGCGTGGGTTTGTCTCGAGAGCTGGCTGCGCTCTCGTGAGACATATAAAAAGCAATCTCAACCGTTTCGGAGGCTTCGAATGAATGTCTCGTCATTACCCCAGCTAAGGTATTATACCTAGCTAAGGTTATTCTACACTGGCGACGAGGATGGGATGAACGAACACGCATCTTCGGACGTCTCCACGATGCCAGCTACCCAGGGTAAGCTGGAAGAATTCGACGGCGCCGGGTGGTCATCGTGGGCAGAACGACTGAACTTCTACTTTGAAGCGAATGGGGTAACTGGCGTTACGAAGAAGAGGGCACTTCTCCTCACCTTGTGCGGCGCCAAGACCTATGAAACGGTGCGAGCATTGGTGGCACCTAAGAAGCCTGGCGAAGTGGCATACGACGACATAATGAGCATGCTGCACACCCATTTCGACCCGCAGCCATCCGAGCTCTTCAGCAGAAGCAAGTTTCAGCGGAGAGACCAGGAGACAGGCGAGTCCATCATCGATTATGTTGCGGCACTAAGGAAGCTCGCCGTCGATTGCAACTTTGGAGTTCCGACAACCGCAACAGCCAGCACCAGCGCCAGCACCAGCACCAGTGCGAGCGGCGATGAGCCGGTCACCGCATCGTCCACAACAATGCTACCACTGGAGGTGATGCTACGGGATAGGTTCGTATGTGGGATTGCGGACGAACACCTTCAGCAAAGACTATTTGCAGAGCCGGACCTAACATTCCAGAAGGCGTATGATTTCGCATTGAGAGCAGAGAGTGCTGCAAGACAGCAAAAAGACGTCAAAGCTCAAAAGACCACCATTAACGCCGTAACCAAGGGTCAAAAATCAACAGTACGTGAAAACCGGAACCTAGGCAAGCAAAGGAAACAGGACTTCGTATCAAGTGAACAACGATGCCATCGCTGTCACGAACAACACGTCGCAGCTACATGCAGATTCCGCACGGCACGCTGCAATTTTTGCCGAAGGACCGGACACATTGAAAGGGCGTGTTATCAGAAGACTGAAACAAATCAACGGCGGCGATCAACACACGCGGTTAGTCATGATGAGTCAACACCTTCGAGTGATGACGAGGATACCCAAAACTTATACGAGCTGAACAGCGTAAATTATACCACGTCGGTGAAGAAGTTCATGGTCTCACTCAAAGTCGAAGGACGACCCATGGAGTTCGAAGTGGACACCGGAGCTGCGTGTTCCATCATCAGTGAAGACACATACAGGAAAACCTGGCCTAAGAATGCCTTTTCACTGAACAAAGAACATATCACGCTCCGACCATGGGCAGGAAAACAACTACAAGTTCTCGGGTCGGCAGAAGTGCGCGTCCGACACAAGTCAAAAGACTATCTGCTCCCGCTAATCGTGGCCTCAGGTTCGGGCTGCAATCTGCTTGGGAGAAACTGGTTCCCGGCACTCAATATCAGAGTCAGCGGGATATACCAGCTTGACCAGGGCAAGACCCTTCATGACGTGTTACTGACACACGAGGAAGTTTTTGATCCAGAGATAAACGGGCACAAGGGCCACGCGGTACATCTGGAGCTGAAGGAAGATGCGACACCGCGCTTTTTAAAGGCTCGACCGGTTCCTTTCGCAATGCGAACCGCAGTGGAGGCAGAACTGCGGATGCTCCAAAACCAAGGCATAATCGAGCCGACGCAGCACTCCGACTGGGCAACACCGGTGGTGATCGTACGAAAGAAGGACGGCACTATACGGATGTGTGGAGACTATAGGAGCACGGTGAACGCGGCGGCAAAACCAACGGTGTATCCAATGCCAACGGTAACGGACCTTCTGGCAAGTGTGCAGGGAGGCACCATATTTTCGACGCTGGATCTCACTCAGGCATATCAACAGCTCCACGTGACAGCAGAGACAGCAGATGTGCTCACCATTAACACTATCAAGGGACTATACAGGGTTAAACGAATGCCTTTTGGAATTTCGGCTGCACCAGCGATTTTCCAACGCTACATGGAGACAATCCTGGCAGGACTACCCGGCGTGGGAGTCTACCTGGATGATGTTATTATCAGCGGAACCACAAAAACAGAGCACCTTGAGCGTCTCGAGGCAGTTTTGAGCAGGTTGGTGAACGCCGGGCTTCGCTTAAAAAGGTCAAAGTGCCATTTCGGTGTCGAAGAAGTGAAGTTTCTGGGACACAAGATAAATGCAACGGGAGTACACACAACAGAAGAAAAACTGAGAGCAATCAAAGAGATGCCGGAACCGACCAGCCGGGCCATGCTTCAGTCTTTTCTAGGACTCCTGGCATTTTATGACCGCTTCATTCAGAACCGAGCATCAATAGCCAAGGTGCTGTACATGCTACTTGAGAAAGACGCTCCATGGCAGTGGGGTGCACGACATCAGCAGGCGTTTCTACAACTGAAAGAAGCCATCGCGGAACGTACAGTTCTAGCACATTATGACGACAATAAGCCGCTGGTATTGTCGTGTGACGCATCACCATACGGCATCGGTGCGGTACTGGCGCACCTAGACAAAGACGGAAACGAGTCTCCCGTAGCTTTCATTTCTAGAACATTGGGAAAGGCCGAGGAAAACTACTCCCAGTTGGACAAGGAGGGTTTAGCTATAGTTTACGCTACAAGCAGGTTCCACCGCTACATTTCCGGTCGACATGTTACCATCACAACGGATCATCAACCACTACTGGGGATTCTAGGTCCACAAACTCCGGTTCCGCCCATTCTTTCGCCACGCATGAAAAGGTGGTGCGTTAAGCTCACGGCCTATAACTACGATCTAGTCTACCGACCAGGAAAACGAAATCAGAATGCAGACGCTTTGAGCAGACTACCTTTACCGGCAAGCGACGACGAGCCACAGCCTCCCGGAGATGTGCTCATGCTGGAAGCGTTGACCAGGCCACCGATTACTGTCGAGAAACTAGCAGACAAGACAAAAGAAGACGCTATTCTTTCCCGTGTGTACGACGCAGTTCAGAGTGGAAATTTCAGGAGCCTTAAGGAAGACATCTTTCAACCATTCAGGAACAAGCACACTGAACTAGCGACACAGCGAGGATGTTTGATATGGGGATCACGTGTGGTGATACCAGCGTCTCTGCGGCCTGAGTCCTTGAGTCTTGTACACTCAGGACATCGTGGAATCGTGGCCATGAAAGCCTGTGCCAGAAGTTACATGTGGTGGCCAGGAATTGACAAAGATATTGAATTATGTGTGGCGGAATGTGCCCAATGTCAAACAAACCAGAAAACCAAGATAAAAGTACCGATGACAAATTGGGAACGACCATCAACAGCCTGGGATAC